AAATAATAATATAAACGAACATCGGTTTTTGATTTTTCTAGGTGCCGTCCCCCACTTCGAAAAATCTGAAAAAATTACACATTAATATCCATAGCAAGACACTAATACTGTAAAAATATAAACGTGGTCATTTGATAATATCAATATAAAAACAGCATTTATAAACTTTCCGAATTTTTAAAAAATCGATTTTGCAGTCAGCAATTCTGAAAAAATTCACAGACATCTATGCCATTGGGTAGCACATCCATAATTTTTTTCATCAAGTGTTCATTGAGCAGAACAAGAGAAATGGAGATTAAACTGTAAATTGCGTTTCACCCTGTAACTACCCTAGTAGTAGAGGTACCAGCTTGATACTTGGCAGAAAGGGTTTTCTTCGAGTGGTCTATCAAATGATATGCACCAATATCAATTCGGTTTGGGGGCACTTTTACCATGCTTATTCGACTAGGCCCTTTTTAAACCATTCACATACCTAAAGTTGGATACACACTGAATGAATATTACAGTCTATACAGAACGTATAGATATTTTATCTTCTTGCGTATAATAAAAATAACAGGTAAGGCCATGCATGACATTGAATGACATTAGAAAAAACATTCAGAGAGTAAAAAGTATGTAATTATCATAAAAATTATATTAAAAAGTATAGATTCTAGATGTCTTTTGATTAAATGTCATTTCATCTCATGTATGAACAGTTTCAAGAACTAGTTTTAAAATCGAAAGTAACGTATCACTGTTATAATTTACGTGTCCTGTATATACGAAGTTAATCCTCTGAAATTATTGTTCGTTTCATTGTAGACTAGAAGAATACTGTTGCATCCCGAAATAATTGTTGAATAATTAAGCGACGTTCGAAAAAATTACGACAATACTGTATAAAAAGCATTAGACATGTTACTTATGCCTAAAATACGACTCATGCTTTGTACGGTGCCATGGAATACCCGTATCTTATACTTAACGACACTGATGAAAACGAATCTCATATTTGAATTATATGTATATACGGTTTTCATCTGAAATAAGCAACTGCTTTCTGACTGGAAAATAGCAACTAGCTTATCCCTTCTTCGTTCTTTGAAGTCGCCCGCAAAGTGAGATGTTGGAGAACAAGTGAGAGATCCGTGAAAATAGGAAGCCATAAATCTTTACGATTGAATGACTTCGTTTAGTAGAAAAATAGAATATGTATAATGCTTTCTTACTCTAGTATTAGCGATCCTGGCGTGTTATACATATCTCGACCCTCTCGCTCGTTCTCCATGTTCTCTCATCCCGTTCGAGAACAAAGTCAAGCCGAATAGTATACCTGATCCGTAATAAGCAACTAGCCGATCCCGAACGTGTTGTTTATTTCAGAACAATACAGCACTGTGTGGAAATTATGTGCTTTCTGGGTCGTGTTATGTGATATAGCATTTAAAAGAATACTATAAAATAATTTTCGAAAGAAGAAACCATGAAATTAGAAAAAAAAGAATAAACAAAACATAGTTGAATACAAAAAAAAAATAGATTTTATACCATATCAATTTTCATTTCACGTAATTTCATCATTTATTAATGGAATATTGTTAATAAATGAAATTTACAATTTGAATTTTTTGTGAAACACTGTCTACACTAGTCATAGTGGCATTTTAAAATAAACATATTTTGAGAATTAAAGAAACAAATTCCTTACATGTCTAAAATACAGTGTTGATAATAATACCCTTATACACAAAATGGAAATTTAAGTTTTGACATATGCGCAAAATATACTTATAATATATACCACAATACAAAACCATTGTACATGACATTGTGATGGTTTAGATTTGTTGCACATTTTTAAGAATATCATGATATCCCTTTCAATTAAAATTAAATGAAAACAGTATGTTCAATAAAAAATAGTAAATATTTCGCAAAATCTCACTCTGTTCTTCTCTAAGGAAATAATATTAATATTTCAATTGATTCCTCACTATTAAGTAAAAGAGAGAAACATTTACTATTTCCCATTTAAAATACTAGTTTACAATAATTACATAATTTCATTCAACGTGTGCGTACGTACCGTAGAAATTTTACATCGAGAAATACATGCATCAGTACGTAGCGTATCAATTTTTGTTGGAACAACAATCATTGCTTCGTAAGTAAAATGAGTGAACGACCAAGTGGCTCAATATTTAAACGATAGATTCTTATTATCAAAGAGAACATTTTTGTATCATGAAAGAAACATTGTGAGTTCATAAAAAGTTTTTTTTTATAGGATTGTGTCTCCCTCATCGATGCCTAACATCTTCAAATCGTCTGGTCCGGGTTGAGTATCCACCTCTGTTTCTGCTTGTGTAATTTCCGGCGGTGGTTGATCCATGTACTCTGGCCCATAGCCAACGCACCCTAACATACTATACATAGACGAGTACATAATATTACTTTCTTGTTGACTTTGTTGTTTCGTCTCTGTCTCCTCTTTAGGAAAAATAATGTTTAAAGCCTCTTGCAGATCATCTGGTAGAGGAATGCTTGGATCTGTTCGTTTTTCAGTAGGTTCTGGAATCTCAGAGATATCCGGTGTGGTATTCTCTACTGTTGGTAATGGTGGCGGTGGTGGATTCTGGTGATTCTGGACGTATGGTGGAACAGTAGGCATCTGAGGTGGCGGGTTCGTCATAAACGGAGGGTGACTCTGCACAGATGGTCGCACTGGCTGATGAGTAGGAAATCGTGTTTGACTTTGAACAAATGGCGGTGGGTTAGTTATAAATGGCGGCGGAGGTCGATTCGTAGGGAACTGTGGCCTGTTCTGTGTTGTTTGTTGTTGTTGCTGCTGTGATTGCTGAGTCGAGAAAGATGGCGGTGGTCTGTTCAGAGGTGGTGGAGGATGAGGAGGCAGAGGTAACTTAGATATACTCTGTGTTTGTTTCTGTTGCTCCATCATTGGCTCCTCTATCACTGTCTCCTCAGACTGATCTTCTATCTCCATATCGACTACTTGTTGCGTAGGTTTAGTTTCATTCAATACTGGTGGTGGTGGGGCCACTAATATTTTCATCGGTTGATTTTTGTTCGTTTGAGCAGGTGAAACGTTAGTACTGCTGTTACTTGCACTATTACTGTTACTGGCAATGGTAGTACTGCTGGTATTATGGTTGCTACTACTAGTAGTACTACTATTACCTAGATTCACCGGTGTTGCCAATTTGGTGATGTGTACCACACCAGGTGGATTTATAATTTCATTGGGAACCTTCGGTGTATCCTCGAACTTACTCTGTTGATAGGGTAAGGGGGTGATATCTTTTTCAGGCAGCTTTGGTTCTTCAGCTTTCTTCTTAAACAACGGCAATCTACCGATAAAAGGTAATTTACCTTTCGACACCTGAGGCGCTGATTTTTTAGTCTGTACACCACCCTTTTTGGACTTGGATGCAGACTCATTCGTTTTCTTCTCGAATTTAGATTCATCATTGGACGAATTATCGTCTCTTCTGTCTTTACCATATTTATCATAATTTCTCTTTGGACTATCGCGCCAACTCCTCTCTCGTCGTGGGGATTCATTACTATCTCGTTTCCTTCGATCCTCGTAATAGTCCCTTTCGCGATCTCTGTCCCTGTCCCTATCCCTATCCCTCTCCCTATCTCTATCCCTATCCCTATCACGATCCCTGTCTCTGTCTCGCCCACGTCTTCTCTCATATCTGCTGTAACGATCGTATTTATCCTCTCGTCTGTCGTATTTTCTATCACGATCATCCTTGTATCTGTCACTCTCTCGTTCTCTCTCGTCCTCCTTCTCCACAGATTTGTTTTCAGGCGGTTTCACGGTCATATTAACTTGCTGCTTTGTCCAGAATCCCATGTGTGGTTTAGGCATTTCCTCTGGTTTCGGTAATTCGATCGGTTTGTTGGCTATAGGTTGTAGTTTCTCCTCTTCCTTCTTTATCCAGAAAGGCTTTGGTGGTTCTTTTGGTCCCCAAACTTCCAGACTCTCTGATTTTGATTTATTTGAAAAAGAAGCCTGCTCTTGCTCCTCTTCCTCTTCTTCCACGGTTTTCTCTTGACTTAGTCTCCTATTGCTGATGGACTTCATCTCTTCTTCCTGTTTCGCTTTCAATTTGTCTCTGATGGAATTTAACAATTGTCTGTCGTCAGTCTCCACTGGTTGGGGCTCTGGAGTCGATGGTTGATTCAAATGTTGAGCCATTTTCGACCAATGGCCTTTCAATTTTATTCGATGATAATCTATCTCTTCGTTAAGAATTGCTTGAGTTGACGCCTTCATCTTATTTCTCATAGCGACACGAATACTTTTGGACATGTCTTGGTCAGAATCAGTATCTGAATTTTCTGATTCACTGGAACTGTCGCTACCGCTACTTCTGTTCCTTCGTTTTTTAGACTTTTTCTTACTTTTCTTACTCTTCTTTGACTTCTTCGACTTTGGTGGTGGATCATCCTCCTTGTGTTTTTGCAATTCCATCTGTATCTGCTTATGCTTCTCCTCTGAGAATGCTTTCTCACGATCCGCCATCCAATCGGTTTCCCAATGTGGATTTTGCTCAACGAAACGCTGAATAAAGATGTTCAATAATAAGATTTATATTCTTGAAAAGAATCGTAAAAGTTAAATTGGAAGAAACTTACAGAATAATTTTCTGAGTGTTGTTTAGATTTCAGGTGCAAACTCGCACAATGGAGATCGCCGATCCAGGAATCGCAAAGCTTACAGTACCATGCCGTCGCAGCGCTGAAGAACTGCAAACCTATAAGCAAATAATTCAACACTTAGCATTACTTAAGCTTTGAAAATGGTAAACAATTTAAGTTCATAAAGAATGACCTTATATTCTGCCACGACACATTCATGTCACTGAAAACAAAAATAATATATTAAAAGATGCTCAATAAATGGTTGATAACATTAACTATTTCTTCAGTACGTTCCCACGATGAGCTCTAGAAGAAAATAGGAAAGGGAAAAAAATCGTTTTATTTGTACAAATATAGTACAGAGATTATACAAATATAAAATAAAAATGATAAATTACATAAAGCAAAGTTTCACACATACTGCAATTGC